CTCATAGGAGCCAATCAGCACTCAGTGCCCTGTTGGAATCCTAGTGCCATAGAGCCTGCTCCTGGGGGGTCACTAGGCCCGCAATCCTGCTGGGAGCGGGGGGCTCTGAGCACCCTGGGCTCCCCCTGCGCCTGATCCTGCAGTGTGGAGGATGACTCCGCTGGGCCCGATCCTGCATGTCACCCCATTTTTGCACTCCTGGCGGTTCTGCACCCTGGGCGTCTGCCCTGCTCACTCCACACTCATTACGGCCCTGTGTAGGGTTTTCAGGCATAGACTTGATATAGCAGATAAGTGTGTCTAAAAATGGTTGGAGGGGTTACTTGACACCATTTTTTTTTTTTTTGACTGATCCCTTGTAAAATCTCTGGATTATCCTTCAACTAACCAATGAATTCTTGGGGAAGATTTTCAGAGGTGCATTGGAAGTTAGGTGCTCAACTCACATTGACTTTCAGTGGGAGTTGAGTACCTCACTGCTATTTGTGCTTTTGAAAATCACCCTTGCTGCCACCACCACCAGTGCTGCACTGTCTTCTGACAGATGTAACTCTCCTCAGTGGGTCTTCCTAAATTTAAAATGTATAGAAACTTTCTAGTTCAAGAACAGATTGAAAGTGTAGCCAAGCCCTGAGGAGTTTATACAAAACTGGTGGCAAGCAGTCCTTATGTTTGTGATCGGCTGGATCACAGAACTAAAGAGAGGCAAAGCTTGCGTGAGTCACCGCCTGTGCTGCCACTCATGATTAGTGAGGAAAACTCTAGTGTTGTCCATTTTAAATGTGCGTATGCTACACTACAAATCTAGTATAACTCACACTTTTCACAGTGAGGCAGTCTAGTTATTTAATGTTGCAGGGAGGTGGGTAGGAAGAATGCTTGTCATATAAATAGAGAAAATTCTTCAATAACTTAATTGGAAAATTGTCAACGTTTTGAAAGAATAGGTCAACATAACAAAGTGGTGGTACACTTTATGCTTAACTGCATGGATAATATGAAAGATTTCATCATGATTCAGACCCACTGTACATCACTAGGTTCAGCTATATCAAGAATCTTTTGATCTTCATCTGATTACAGTTTACTAGGCAAGGGCTAGATCCTCAGCTGATATAAACTGACATGGCTCTTGACTCATTGGAGTTGCACTGATTTACACCAGCTGAGAATCTAGTCTGAAACCAGCTGTTTCATATCATCTGCCACAGCAATGATATGTTTAAAGAATATCCATACCTTAGGGCAATTACTAAACCTATTCCATGAGAAAAGTATGAGCTTAAGAGCTTCCTCTTTCAGGATTTACTTTGTTGGCTGGAGACCCTGAGACCACTTTGCTGCTTTTCATACTGAACATGTTGTCGCTTTCCTAGAAAGGCTCAACTTCAAACACCCTTTCAGGTTAGAACACAGCTACCTGATCCCATCTAGACCTGACAGATGCCTGACCTTTCTGCCAGACATAATTCTTTTCCTATCCTATTTGTCTTTTCCTATTGGGGGAGGTTTAGGTTGGATATTAGGAAAAACTTTTTCACTAGGAGGATGGTGAAACACTAGAATGCGTTACGTAGGGAGGTGGTGGAATCTCCTTCCTTAGTTTTTAAGGTCAGGCTTGACAAAGCCCTGGCTGGGGTGATTTAGTTGGGGATTGGTCCTGCTTTGAGCAGGGGGTTAGACTAGATGACCTCCTGAGGTCCCTTCCAACCCTGATATTCTGTGATTCACATATGGCCTGATCCAGTGCCCCTTTAAGTCAATAGAAAGAGTCCTATTGACTTCAGTGGGCATTGGATCTGGCCCATGTTGAAAAAAGATAAGTTTGAGCCATGAAGTTTGGATCCAAATGCAAACTTCTGCAAAGTTTTGGGGTGCTCAGATCTAAGGAGTCATTCCTGCTACCAGTATTGACATGTCACCCTGTGAAGTGAAAGTAAGGCAAACCAGATTGCATTGATATTATTAGACATACATATGAACTTTGCTACATTTTATATTTCTGGGTTTTTTTAAAATCAAATCCCAATTTCCTTCCATTTTCCAGTATGTTCACACTTACTTTTCTGCCTTTTACAGACCCCAAAATAAATACAGAACTACAATCCTCCTCTAACGATTAACTTTTATTCTAGAAGTTTGGGGTTACAATAGTACTTCATCCAGTTATTTTCTTGCTTTTTAAAATTGGCTTGGCATATGGTAATCCTGGGTTTTCTGAACCCAAAACTTTTTATAACTTTTACTGTTTGCAAAGCGCTGGCAGGAAATAAATCAGTGAGGATACGACCATCTGCTGGATAGATGGTTGATACAAGCAGGATAACACGAGTGCTCTTATTAAAGGTATGCTTTCTTTAGTCTCAAGCACCTACACGTGTCCACAACAGGTTAGTAAAACACTCCAATCCCCCACATTTACCAAGGTCTGGAGTGGTTTTTGAGTGGTACAGCAGCAGCCTTCCGATGACCAATCTTGTGTCTTCCCGAGGGGACCCTCAGATGCACCCAGGGGGAGAATCCTGAAGAGTCCAACTGCCACAAACTTTCTTCCCTTATTTATTTGTTAGTATTACAATGACATGTCAAAGAAAACTTGTTAAGCAACCAATTTCAAAGGTTAAGCAAGAGGTTTCATTTTGATTATCAATTAGCCAGATGTGTGTTTGCAGTCTGCAAGCCTTGAGGCCCTGACAAAAACAGCCTGGAGGGCAAACATAGACAAGGTTCCTTCCCCCCCCTCCACCCCCCCATACCTCAGCAATTTCAACAGAGATCTTATCAGGAGGGGTGGGGTCAGACTGTCTTCTCTTGTGGTCGCCCAAACCCTCTCCCCTCCTGACTTTTCTTCATGCTAAGACTGCTGCTCAGGCCCACTAAAGGCCTCCTAGTTTGGTTGCTTTTTGCAATGAACAGTAATGATCCAGGCACTTTACTGGTCCTCCAAGATCTCCCTGTACAGTGTCTCAGTTGTTGAAAAATACACAAATAACTACCTCCCCTGCTGTTGTCCTACTCATATTTCTTGCTATTCAACATTGTTTTTTTAAGTGAATCATAGCCGAATCCCACAAAATTAAACATTACATAGTAATTACTAGAAAATCTACTGATACAACTCAGTTATTCAAGAAGTCATCTTGATTGTCTCTTTAAATCTTCCACATCCAACACAATCAAACATTACTGCACTACTTTAGATACACAGTTGCACAGAAAAGCTTGTCCTTGTTATTTTGATAACTGAATAATGATACCTCTTTTCAACAGTAGTTTTCATCAGCAGATCTCAAAGTGCTTTACAAAGGAGGGCAACGTTATTGGCTTCATTTTTACAGATGGGGAAATTGAGGCACAAGAGTGGTGAGGTGACTTGTCCAACTGCTTTATGCCAATCTTGTGACGAGTTCATAATACATAATCTATATATATGAATATTTACTGCTTTTCCTCTCTGATACACGTAGTATTTATACACAGATACAATTATCACTTTCCACATTCAGTGTGCCTTAGGAACGTTAAATAATTAATCCTCTGAATGCCCCTGTGTCATAGGTAAGAATTATGAGTCCTGTTTTACAGATGGGGAAACTGAGGCAGGATGTTTTATATAATAGTTTCCCATTTGGAAATAGGCCCTGGAGGTTTTTCGCCTTCCTCTGTAGCATGGGGCACGGGTCACTTGCTGGAGGATTCTCTGCTCCTTGAGGTCTTCAAACTACAATTTGAGGACTTCAATAGCACAGATATAGGTGTGAGGTCTTTTTTAGGAGTGGTGGGTGAAATTCTGTGGCCTGCATTGTGCAGGAGGTCGGACTAGATGATCATAATGGTCCCTTCTGGCCTATATATCTATGAATCTATTTGAGACGCACATAACTCAGAGAACTGACCCTCAAAGAGTTTTGTCATCATCATTCCATTAGAAGTGGGCTGGGAGGAATAGACTCAGTAAGCGGTTATCCTGAGACACATACAGCTCTTTAGATTCCCACAGAAGTCCATTGCCTCTGTACAGCTGTTCTATTGGACCTTCTTCCCCCACCTTTTGTGGTACACTTGCCAATGGCAGCATAGCTGGTTCTGGTACCTCTCCGGTTGCATAGTAGTAACTGTCAAAGAATTCAGTGCTTCTTGAAGCAGCATTGACTCTCAATCACAGTTCTGATAGAAAATCTGTGAGGAGTGTGCCATGGATTGTGGCAGTTTCCTGACTTTACCATTTTCCCACATTCCATCTTAAACTTTTATGGAACCCCAGTCCTTTTCAGAGTCTATTGAGGAATTTTGGAGAATTGGAGAGAAAGAGAGGAGCATGTTGAAGAGCCATCACTCCCACTTCTCTCCTTTCTATCACTTCACTTTCCTCTTCCTGCAAGGGTGGTTTCTGATAGGTTTGGTTCCTCTATTTCTGGAAGCAAAGGGAGGGACCGTAAGACTCTCTGTGACTGGATGATGGACATACAAAGTTTTAATGTTAGCAGAGGTGAGACATGAACTCAGGCATTTATGTCATGCAAGGCCACTCTCAGATCTCTTGACAACATCTTCTCTTGCCAATATAATCATGGCTGCCCCAGTGAAAAATATTGATATCTCTGTAATCTTCCTTTTATGCTGCTTTAGGATCAAAATATCTGTGCAATACCTGATTTTCACTGGATGGACCAAAGCAAACTTTGCTATATCAAAATGATTGTAAGCTCTGTTTTAAATGTACTCTCCATCATAATTAATGGACGATTGTCAGGTTGCAATTATCAGGTTGCAACATTTAAAAGAACAACCCTTGGGGAAAAACAACGGCCTTTTAAAATGTATCTTTGTATCTCACCGCAAGCAATAGCTCAGTAAATTTTATCAGTAAGTTGAACTTCCAGTTGGGATGAACCACAATAAATGGTGGTTTGCCATTGACTTCACTGGGGCCAGGTATATGTCTGTCATAAGCATATTTTAACTTTTTACTTATGTATTTATTTTTGCTTGTTTTGCAGATCGCCCATGGATCTGGAATATTCCTTATACCAAAGCACCCGATACACATGGAAACATGTGGGTTCCATCATAAAAGCTTCAAACCTACTGTGAGATTTCAGCATCTGACACAGCCTCCTACCATAGCTGTGAGACTAATTATTTCTGATTTTCAGATGTGGAGTTGCGCACTGGATAACTAGCTTCTTATTATGTCACGTCAATAATATTGAGACATTGTTTGGGGGAGGAGAGGAAGGGAGAATCCTTGGAGAATATGTAACCATATTGATCTTTATGGATTTTCTAAAAATATAACACTGTAATTTTAAAATACCGTTTTATATACTCTTCTTCTTGTAGTGCTCATTGCATTTTGGAAGGTGTTAAAATGACAGTGTAAGCTATGTTCAGAGGTTCCCACTGTTTTTAGCCAGAATATATTCAAATCTGTTAGTATTCTTTTTGATTGTTTTGGGGCCCCTCTTGATCACAGGAAGAGATTTGTAGTTACATTTTGAAGTTAGAAAGTGAATAAAAGGCAATTTTGTTACATTTTTCATCAACATGAAACCAACCCTTTGCTTTCACCTCTTTGGTAATTTATTGTCCTCTCCTTTGAGAGCTTAACAGAGTTCAATTCAGTTCTTCCCCATTTCTTCCTTCTCCAAAGCCCAAATCCTGTCCAAAAAACTCAGTGCAAGTAGCTGGACTTGAGTGCCGGGGAGCTCCTTGCCCTTTCTATTGTCTTGCTTCTCCTTCATTATTCTCAAAGTCATTCTGTGATGTATTGTAAGCAAGACACAAGAAGTAATTCTTCCTCTCTACTCCACACTGATTAGGCCTCAACAGGAGTATTTTGTCCAGTTCTGGACGCCAAACTTCAGGAAAGATGTGGACAAATTGGAGGAAGTCCAGAGAAGAGCAACAAAAATGATGAAAGGTCTAGAAAATATGACCTATGAGGGAAGATTGAAAAAATTGGGTTTATTTAGTCTGGAAAAGAGAAGAATGAGAGGGGACATAAGTTTTCAAGTACATAAGATTGTTACGAGGAGGCGGGAGAAAAATTTTTCTCCTTAACCTCTGAGGATAGGACACAAAGCAGATGGGCTTACATTGTAGCAAGGGTGGTTTAGGTTGGACATTAAGAAAAACTTCCTCACTATCAGGGTGATTAAGCACTGAAATAAATTGCCCAGGGAGGTTGTGGAATCTCCATCATTGGAGATTTTTAAGAGCAGATTAGACAAACGCTGTCAGAGATGGTCTAGATAATACTTATCCTGCCATGAGTGCAGGGGACTGGACTAGATGACCTCTCTAGATCCCTTCCAGTCCTATGATTCTATGTCCTGTCCTGTGGCGTCTGTAAGCTCCTTGGAGCCATTATGGTGCCCTCTCTGTGCTGTTTTGGATGCCAATGAAAATAATTTCATTTAGGTGCAGGGGGAAGAACTGCACTGACCAGACTCCTTGAGAGGTGGCTACACAGTGGTGGGAATATCTTCTATAAGCTATGTCTATACCACAAAAATTGCCTGTTGCTGATCATCGCTGCTAGCAATGGATGCACTTGAACTGGTTCAGATGCAGGCATAGCCTGGGAGAAAGCATGGTTAACACATACTCAGAGCTGTTAGGAATAAAATATGCTCAACTCCCAATAGCTTTGAAGCACATTCTCTGAAACTGCTCTGAGCACAGTTTGTCCTGGATCTGCACTTGAGGTTGGGTACAGTTGTGCCCACTGCTGACAACCTGTTGTCAGCAATGCGTAATTCCTACAGTGCGATCATAGCTTTCGCTGCCACTCCCTTCTGCATGACACCACAGAGTCTTTCACAGTTTTGTTCTCCACTGTGCACAATGGAGAGAGGAATGTAGGTGTTAAGATCAAGGATCTTGTCCCACAGATCTATTCTCCAGGGCCAAATTGAAAGTCAGAGGGATGCTCCATTGTGCATACAAGATTTTGACCCTTTTTGAACTAGAATTTGACCACTTAAAACTCATTTAATGTCCCTAATAAACATTTTCTATGTATCCTATTCTGAGAGTTCTGCAACTAAACTACCCCCGAGCAAGGAGCAATATGTTTGTTGTGCTGCTCCTGGAGCAAGCTAAAAGACAGATCATGATTCAAAGAGTCACAACCTGCCTTCCAGATACCCCCTTGCTCTGAGGGGAAAGTACCATGCGTCAAGTCCATAAATGGTAGAGGGTAATTCTCCCCTGCCCTGGTACACAGGCATAGCTAAAACAGACAAAAATATAGCATCTGAAGTTGAAACATTCCTACCCAATTTGTAATTTCTTATTTCTACTTGCAGTCAATTGAGAAAGAATTAAAAAATGGCACAATCTGTCTCTAAGCTAATTTTATCTGTATGTATGCAGTGACTTGACACTTCCACTATTGGGCCTTTGGAACTACAGATATGACTTCAGAGGGGTCATTATGTACTAATGGCTTATGACATCCAAAAAGGAAATGCAAAGTGACAGATGGTGTATATTGCTGTAATAACTCTGTCATATGATTGTTTTCCATCGTCTGTTCTTAACTAAATACTGTCACTGAGTTAATTACATTCACTATATACCAAAAAGTAGGACTGGTTAACATGGAAACAAACTAATTTATATAAGTAGTTGAACTATTGATTTACAGATAAAGAAGTTATTAAAATGGACTTTGATCAGTGTCTGGCTTCAATTTTAGTTCTGAAAAGTTAATAATAGAAGAGCAGGGTCTTTCCATGGTAAGTCTCTGGTTTTAAATAAGACCTTGAATGTGTAGTTATAGCCAGTAAACCAGTATATTATTTTTTAAAAGCCACTTGTATATTCTAAGTCCTATCTGCTTACATTGCTGACTAGATTGTTCTAATTTAACTTAAACTACTGTTTTACTCCAGTTAGCCCTGCAGAGCCAACACAACTTTCAGTGAGTGAATTGGATTCTAGTCTGATTCATACATCAACAGAATTGTTGTCTAAGTTCCACATGTTTAATCTTTACTTCTTACAAAATCAGTGCTAGAAAGAATCCAGTTTCACTCTCATATTCCATGTTGAGTTTGCAGAGATGGAGGTCAGGAAAAAGTCTTGTAAATAGAGCAGATTTGCTCTGAAAATCATTGAGATATAATAAACAAGAAATCTTGCACAAAAAAACCACCGCCACCCAAAACAAAACCCCAAAATGGTTACTTACCTGCTCTGTAGCTACTGTTCTTTGAGATGTGTGTGCAGATATGTATTACACTTAGGTGTGTTCATGCCGAGTGTACCAGAGTCAGACTTTTTTCCCACAGCAGTATCTGTTGGGATAGCGCACGCACCCTACATCCTCCTGGCCCCTCCAGAGGAAATATAAGGGTTGCCGCTGCCCCAACCCCCCTCAGTTCCTTCACAGCAGAGCAGATGGTTTAAGACCCCAATAGAGAGGGGACAGACGGCAGGTCATGGAATACGTATTTGCACCCACAACTAGAAGAAAAACAGTTACAGAACAGGTAAGTAACTGTTTTTCTTGTTCGCATTGTTGCAGGCATGTATTCCATTCAGGTGACTCCCAAGCAGTACTGTGGGTTCAGAGCCTACTTGAATAATGATTGAAATATGACTTTGCCAAAGTTCACATGCAATCTAGAGATTGTTGAGACGACACAGTGAAAAGTAAATGTATTTACTGAGGACTCTACAGATGTCCAGAATGGGAACATCCCTGAAGAAAGTAATTGATGCAGCCTGAGCCCTTGCAGAATGGGCCAAGAGTCTTTGCAGAGGTGGAATATTGACTGCCCTGTATGCTATTGTAATGCAAGAGGTTATCCAATGAGACATTATTTGTGCTGACGCTGCCTTGGCCCTTCATGTGATCTACATAAGACACAAAATGACAAGAATACTGTCTGAAGGACTTGGTCCTATCCAAGTTAAAAGCCAGTGCTCTCCTGACATCTAACTTACATGGACGTTCCTCATCTCTGCTAATTTGCAGTTTGGGGAAGAAGACCAGAGAAGTATTGTCTGGTTTAAATGAAAAGCTGACACAACTGTAGATAAAAACTTCAGGTGTGGTCATAAGGCTACTTTGTCTTTGAAGAGCGCTGTGTAAAGAGGACCTGCCTGTAACGCTGGCAGATCAGGTGCCAGCTTATGCCAAGGTCCCCATGCCTAACTTGAATACTGACAGACAAATAGCTGGAATCAGTCTTTTTCACCTGTGTGTTAGTATTGTTAAAATAGGTATTAGAGTTATAAACGTGTTTAGACTTTATTGAATGCTTGTAAATTGCTGCATGCATTAATCCCGCTTATAACATTTGTATGCCATATTGTAAAGTAATATTTGAGCATTTGCACTGGAAGCCTCCATAACTATATAAATAACCAGACAGGAGAGAGACATTACTGTGAAATGCTGTCCTCCAACAGAAGGTGTTATGGCCTTCCCCAAAAGGAAGGCCCATCGACCAGACAAACTGTTGAGAAACATCAAAAAGGACAAAAGATGTTGTTGTTTGCTCACCTCCCCCCGCAATGAAGAGCAGATGTGCAAGAGAATTGTTCCCATCAGCTGAGTTGGCAGTTTGAAGCAGAATGGGGGAAGGGAGAAAACCCCCTAACAAGGAGGAACTGTAACTCTGTGCTGCTTGGACTCTTGAGGGCAAGGTTTTCTGGGCATAAGCAAGAGATCCCTGGTGTTTAGCCTGGGTTAGCCCTAAAGGACATATAAGGCTTGCTTATTATAGAAGCTGCTATTACCTTTTGAAATATTCAACTCTGAAATATTCAACAGTGTGTTTTTTCTGTGGTAAAATGCTGATTCATCAGAATCAAAACATTCCACAGGAATGTATCTATTTTGATTAAATTTCAGCAGGATCCTGCCTGGTTTCTTGCCAACTCAGCAGCCCAACTCCTCAGCAGTCAAGGTTGCAGCCTTGACTTTCGGGCCTTCCTAGGTTCCTGGCTCTTTTACAGCCCAGAAGCCCAGGGAGCCCCAGCTCCGAGGCTACCTGAGCTGGCCTGTTCCCTGCCTGGTAGGCTGACAGGGCCCTGGGCAACTTGGAAATGTTTTGGAAATGTCTAAATGTCATTTCAACGTTTTCTGAATGAAATTTTGGAATTCCTATTCCATGGGAAATTTTGGAATTTCATTTTTTGTTCCATTTTGGATTTTATTTCATAATTTCCCACAGAATGAGAATTCCAGTTTCCAGACAGTTCTAAATATGGTTGGTAGAAAGGGGGTGCTGTAGCCTGGTCAGTCCAGTCTAAAAGTAGGGTGAGGTGCAGTGCAGGTTTCCACTCAGAGACACTGGTTTAGACCTGTCATTTGGAAGGGGTATGCACAGAGAGATTGAGAGAGGGCAAAGGTACAGCTAAGCCTTGCAACAGAAGCTCTCTCTAGGTCAGGTTTAAGACACATTGCTGGGTTTATATGGGGAACTCAGACTGTGCTTTCCCATACTGTATATGCTCTGGGGATGATCTATCTACTGCTGTCAACCCAACATCTTTCCCCTAACTCTTATAAAAATGTCTTTTAAAAAAAAAAGGAAATAAAGCTGTTTCTTTCTCCAGTTGTGGAGAATTATTACTCAGCATGAGATCTTTTTTCCTTGATAAACTGCAGTTGTTTCACCCTTCTTCCCACTTGCAATGAACTAGTTCTTACGCTAGTTCAAAATAAAAAATGATTTCTGATAACCATGGCAACAAAAGGATTCTTTGCTCCTTATAGTCACTTTGTGCCACATGGTGGACTGGATCTTTTAAAAGTGCATTTGTCCAGCCTACCTGTGTCTCATTAACAGCCTTGCAATGGGGTCTGATAGAGGGCAGCTGATCCCTATATAGAGCAGCAGGAAGCTGCAGAGAAGAGGGGGATTCTCAAGACACTAGGGTGGCATGGAACTGTTAAAGAAACCTGGGACCTGGAAGCTGTGGAGAGTAAGGTTCCTGTGGGCTGCAGAGACAAGAGGGCTTCAGGACAGATTTGAGATACCAGGGGAACAAGACTCCAGCCAGCTCTGGCTGATAGTAGCCTGGTAAAAGCAGCGAATTAAGTTGGACTTTGTGGACTTGGGCCTTTGAATTTTGTTCTGAACTTACTTTTATGTTAAGAAACCCAACCCTAAGGGGAGGGGTCTTTGCACAGAAAAACCTCTGTGAAGTTATTGAGAGTTCCCCCTTCAAACTGAGGCAGGGTGCCTGTAGAGTGATCTCAGGTCAGGAAGTGGTGCTTGTATAGATCCAATACATTTTACCTTCTCCCCAGCACAGGGGTGAAATTGAGAGACACTGTGATTCTCCAGACTCGGTTTTCTTCCTGGGTGACTCCTGGGGCAGCACAACTATGCATTGTTCCTTAGTTCAGGACATATCAAGCCCCATTGAAGGCCCTGATCCAACGCCCCATGAAGTTGACTGGAGTCTTTCATTTGCACTTTGACTGGAAGCCAGCAGCAAAAAAGAAAAAAAGCAAGACCCTAAAGAGATAACAAATGTTTCATCCTACATATAAAAATGCCACGTATTTCAGTAACTTCATTGTTTGTTGGTGTTGCTAAATGGCCACTGTGCTTTCTGAGCCAGTGCTTCCAGTCCCACAATACAGGACATTAATTCATTGTATTTTGTGGTGTTGGAACTTTCACTCTATGAAATTTCTACATATTGATGCCTCTGCAGATAAACACAGTAAATATGAACAAAACAACTAGAAGAAATTACTGTACATGGAGTAACTCCAAATTAAACCAGCAGAAAAAATGCAGGTGATCTCAGTTTAGATGTCAAGAGCCTAATTCCAAGGTGAATAAATGAGTGTAACTTAAATCTTACTCCTTTTTCCAGCTGCCCATGTCATACAAATTTTGGACCAGATTCTGATTCCCTGCCTCAGGGAATAGCACTTTACTCAATGAATAGTCCCATTGATTTCAGAACTATGTGTGGAGTGGGATACTACCGTGAGTAAGGGTATCAGAATCTGGCCTTGAGACTCGCACCCACCTTCTTCATGCCCTCTGGGTTTGGCCCACTTAAACTGCTGTAACTCTCATCCTGAGTGGCTAAAGACAGGAATGTAGCAAGAAAAGCACTAATGAGGTTGTAAAGATCAGTGAGTTCAAATAAACGGCCTCACATTTCAATTTACACCTTCTGCCAGCTCTTTGTGTTTTCCCTTTTAGTATGCTACAATTTTCCCACTCCAAATGTCTCACAATTACTGTCTCTTCTTTTTCTGTAAATTAATTCCCCAATTACTGCTTTCCATGTGAATTTGTGCAGCCTTCCACAGTGCTATGTACCCTGCATCCGTGAAAAGTAAAAAATTAACCTCTTCAGTTGAAATAAAATATTCTCTGTTGCTTAGAACATAAGAATGAGAGCTAGAGCTTCTGGGGTTTATTTTTGACTCTGCCGCAGACTTACTGTGTGACTTTAGACAAGTTGACTTTTCTGTGCCTTAGTTTCTCCTTCTAAAATGCGTGTCTATACGGACCCCACTCTGTAGAGGCAGAGTTGTGAACTTAATGAATGTTTGTAAGCCACCTGGAGAGCCTATTCTACTAGGTGCTATAGGGACAGTATCACTTAGAATCATAGAATATCAGGGTTGGAAGGGACCTTAGGAGGTCATCTAGTCTAACCCCCTGCTCAAAGCAGGACCAATCCCCAATTTTTGCCCCAGATCCCAAATGGCACCCTCAAGGATTGAGCTTGCAACCCTGGGTTTAGGGGACCAATCCTCAAACCACTGAGCTATCCCTCCCGCCAAGTGTTTCTTTCAAATACCAATCATAGGAACTAACCCAAGTTGCTAGCATACAGTGACAGACTGGTTTCAGAGTAACAGTCGTGTTAGTCTGTATTCGCAAAAAGAAAAGGAGTACTTGTGGCACCTTAGAGACTAACCAATTTATTTGAGCACAAGCTTTCGTGAGCTACAGCTCACTTCATCAGATGCATACTGTGGAAAAGTGACAGAACTGTTTCAAGAGAACCAAAATGATGCCATGTGAAGTGCAATCAAATGAATCTCTCTTAAAATAGTCCTGTTGCTGTGTGCAAGCAACCTGGGCTTTGTTCCTGTGATTGTCAGTAGAAACCTTACGACTTTTCACTATTTTATGCATACTTGTTTGTTCTGGAATGCTCATTCATTAATTCTACTTTCCTTCCTATTGAATTATTTATTATTAAGAAATGTGTAAGCAATGTTACCCTGTTGGTTGGTTCTGCTACACAGCTTAATTGATCTACGTGTTACTTTTAATAGTGTGTTACTTTCCCATCTAAACACCACTTAAAAATTAAATGCCTTGCATAATGACAGGTTTCAGAGTAGCAGCCGTGTTAGTCTGTATCCGCAAAAAGAAAAGGAGTACTTGTGGCACCTTAGAGACTAACAAATTTATATGAGCATAAGCTTTCATGAGCTACAGCTCACTTCATCGGATCTTTTTAAAAATTAAAGTTTATTTCTCTAGTATGATAACTCTAGGGAGAAGGAGTTGTCACAAGCAAGCTTGGGTACAATTTATTCCCCAAACTATACTCATGCCTTTTGTTCATGATCTGTTGATGGGTGGTTTTTCTCCTCTGCCCTCATGGGCTCTGGTGTATAACAACTGTTCCTATTATAACACTCTCAGCTACAGTTGTTTGTACACTGAGACATTCAGCATCTTTTTCTTAATAATAAATAATTCAATAGGAAGGAAAGTAGAATTAATGAATGAGCATTCCAGAACAAACAAGTATGCATGTCCTGTGTTACATCTTTTCAAGGAAAGCAGTCCGTCTTGCAATAAAATGAATGAAAAGCAGTTTTTTTCTGACCTTATTTATATTCTAAAAGCATCAAAAACTTGACTTTATTCTCACCAAATGCATTGGTTTTTCTTAAGTTTTTTTCCATGTGCACTTCATATGGATGATACTCATGTTCATGTTCCATATTTGCAAACCATTCAGTTCCACAGGGGTGGGTAAAGTCTGCTCCAGCCTAGTGTGAATAGAAGATGTGGGTTACTCCTCCTTAAGAAGCAAAAGGATATGTAGAAGAAGGAACTTGAAGGATGGCTGTGAACACAGCAGAGAAATCAGCAAAATAAGATGGACACTGTAAAGGCCCTGGAGGAAGGAGGCATATTCAGGACGTCTATTTGGAGCCAGTTGGCTATTGGAAATTAAAACAAAAGCATTATACATTGTGTGGTCTTGCTATCTTGAAATGAGAACAAAAATAACTAAACACCCACTAGATAACACCACACATTTATTGCAGTGATGTAACTGCACTATGTCTATCAGTTTCTATGGTGTATATAATTATATGGACACATAGCAAAAAAACCTGCTCTGAATACTTATCAGAAAAGGTTAGAGTTAATCAGTAGATTGATGATTTGCCTTCCAAAAGTGGAGGAACTCTTTTTGAATGTGTTGGAGTCAAAGTCAGAGGGGGTTTTGGTCAAGTAACTTCAGCTCTCTGTATTTTTGCCTCAGTTTCCCCTGTAAAACTTCATTTGTAAAGCATTTTGAGATCCATCAGTGAAAATGTGTGTATACTATATGTTCTAATTATTAAGTAAATATTTGTCCTGATAGACAACTTTCCATGGCTACAAGTATTTTACTGAAGAGAAAAATACCACTGACACTTTGTTTATTAAATGACAAGGAAACATACAGATCAATAGAGTCACTATTTGCTTAACATTGGAAATGGAAGATATAGAAAATGTTTACATTTCTCATTTCTGATTCATGCCTATTTTCATTATAAAACAAACAGTTCCAAGCTGTACAACTTCCATGTTCAGCTGGCTTTTACTGACTTATAGATGTGTCCACTAGCTATGGGCCAGATGCTGCATCCCTTACTCATGCTAAGTAGTATGTACCCACATGCATAGTCCCTTTGAAGTCAATGGAACTGCACAAATGAGTACTCATCATAAGGGTTGCAGAATCTAGCCGTAAATTATTCTGGATGTCCGAAATGTCAGATATTTCAAATAAAATTCATTTTTCAAATTAGTTTGCCAAGAATCAGAGTTATTTGTAAGGTTCAACAGAAGTCTGTCTTAGTGTGCCCCCCTTAAGGCTTTATGGAGATATGCTTATGAATGTATATATGACATAACTAGAATATGTTTTATGCTACATATGCCATGTAACATATCTCTGTAAAGATTACGATCTACTGAATCTATTAATCCTATTTGTATGCGTGTGTCATTTTTGTATTCAAAGTTATGAATATTGGCTGTGTACTGGCTTGATTTTTAAGTAACCTTTGTAAAGCAATTTGGTTAGCTTCTTGAGAAAGGAATGTGCAAATCAAGAAGCACTTAAAGTACAATGGATCTTGGAATGCTCCAATCCACATAAGAAGTTTTCCTGGAGACATTCAAGATACCATGTGAGCAGTGGCTTCTGCCTGTAAAAACTGAGAGTCATGCATGGACATGTGACTTGCCCAGGTGACTCCAGAACTCTATCTTCGAGCTGGAGTTTGCATAGGAGAAAGGAGAGTGTCTCCACCCACACGAGAGTGTCTATTTAAGCCCATGGGAGACCTCT